TCCCCCCAGCGCCGTTCCTGCGCCCCGGGTGGCCTCCGCTATGATGGGATGGAGACGTTCCCAGCTGGGAGCTGGATCCCATGCCTGGCATTGCCCGAGATACCCCAGGATTTGCCCAGGATTGCGTGGATTTGCCCGGCGTTGCACAGCAGCCACCAGCCCCTGCCTGCACTTGCCATCGCTCCGAGGCCCGGGCTGTCCCCGCAGCGGCTCCGTGGCAGGCACAGCTCTCCCTGGAGACCCTGGCCCTGTTCCCATGTGCCAGGGAATCGATCCTCTTATTCCTGGCAAGCAAGAAGCGATTCCCCTGGGGCCGAAGCTGGATCCTGCTCCCCCGTGGGAGGCTGCCGAGAGCCCCAGGGGAGGTGGAATCCATCCTGGATGGCTCCAAAGAGACTGCGGCAGCGGCAGCGCTCCTGCGGGAGCTCCCGGGCTCCGGAGCGACGCTCCAGCCCAGCCCATGCTGGGATGCGTGGGAAGGAGGATGCTGTGCCAGGCTCACCAGGAAGCGCCAGCTGCTCTGGGGTGGCACAGGGCATGTGGGGGAAACTGAGCTGAAGGGCTCTTGATTTACCTTATTTTTGGTTTTGTTTTCCTTCAAAAATACTGATTTTCCTGCAAGAAATCTCATTTTGGCTGGAAACTTTTCATTTCCCCATTTTGGGGGCTGTTCTTTTTGCTTTTAAGTCAACATTTCCCCTGACAATGTTGTTCTGGCCAGGGCTCCTTTTTAAGCAAAGCCCGCGATGACATTTTAAGTGGAGGAGAAAATTCCTGCTTCCTCTCAAAATGTCAACACAGAGCTTGCGCTGGGGGGTTCTGCTGGGGTTTTCCCAGGGAAACCTGGAATGTTTCCATTGGGATTGAGCAGCTGCTGCCCCTAGGAGATGCGGTTTGGGGCAGGAAAGCTGCGGGCACCAAGGGGAGCGGGAGCTGGGATGTGTCCGGGTCTGGCGCTCCCGTTCCTCGCAGCCCCTGCTCGCTCTGCGCTCGCTGCTTCGGCTGCAGCCTCCTGTTATCTCACTTGTATTTATTAGGGCAATTATACCTAATGATTCACGCGCTCGTGGAGAATAATTGCTCCAACACTCCGCGCCGCTGGTGTTCTCCTCCGACCTGGGTACGGTGATTCAGAAATGCATCTTTTCCTGTGATTCATCAAGCAACAATCCTTTAATTGCCTTTTTTTTTTCCCCCCCCCAAGAGTGGCTTGAGAAAGCCCCAAGGAGTCAGCGCCCCATGAGCACTGGCACATTGCGAAGCGCCCTGGCTGGTCCCAGGGTTTTCAGCAGCCCCGTGCACGGGTGATGGGCACTCAGTGCCAGGCGGGGGTCTGAAGGCTCCCTGTTCTGGCGCTGTTTTCCCTGGAGCAGTGGGGGATACGTCCCCGAGGAGCGGGAACATCCTCCATGGACTCACCTGGAGATGTTCCCAGTGATGGCTAAGGAGAAGCCGGGATCTTAAGAAGCATTCCCCCTGGGAACACCCCAACCCTGCAGCCCTTGGATGAGCTCTGCCTGCTCTCCGTCTGCCTCCCTGTGCCGGGAGGGACCCCAGTGTCCCTTGTCACATGGTCTCGGGAGCACCTCGGTTTACCTGGAACCTGCTGGGGCTCCCTGGGCTCTCGGAACAGGCGGCTGGGGGGCTCCTCGCTGCCCGAGTCGTCTCCCCCGGGGCTGCGTGGGGCGGCCGCGGCAGGGCCCACATTGTC